TTTTTAGGGGGAGAAGGGTGTTCAGCAAAACAAAACTGTTTTCTTGCTTCTTTGTAAGATGTCTTTTTCAAAAAAAAAAACACCCATTCACCTTTTAATAACCACTGACAGGGCGCCAAGGAAAGAATGAGCGTTTGTGCCAGGTTTTTGATCTTCTGCCTTCTCCACCTGGGCGTCACTCTCTGGTCTCTCACACTCACACCCCCCAGAACTGATTGATTAGGGACTCTCTGGGCCCGGCGGGGTGAGCTGTGTGGCTTATCTGGGAGGGATCAGAGTTCACAGGAAACACAGGCTTCCTCCGAGGTGTTGGCTGCGCTTTCAAAGGCGCAGAGGAAAGGAGCGGAGGCGGCCGCAATTTCCATCGCTGGCGGGGTGCCCATGGCAGGAACTTTCGTAGACACAGATGTCCCTGCAAACAAAAGCCTGGGGTGGGCCCTCACTGGTTTGGCTCAGTGGATGGAGTGTCAGCCTGCAGACGCAAGAGTCCTGGGTTTGATTCCAGTCAAGGACATATGCCCAGGTTTCGGACTTGATCCCCAGTGGGGGGGGGGGGGTGCAAGAGGCAGCCCATCAATGATTCTTTCTCATCATTGATGTTTTTCTCTCTCTTCCATATATATACACACACACACACACCATATTTTCCGGCATATAAGACGACCCCCTAATTTTACAGTTAAAACATAGGTTTAGGCCTATATTCACTGTATAAGACTACCCCCCACTTCAAAGAAAAGACTTACTTTGCCGTCAAGATCTGCAGGTAATTTTTGTGCAATTTTGGTCTTTTGCCCCCGATTTTCGGTTGACTTTTTTTTGTTTCAAAAGTCGTCTTATATGCCGGAAAATACGGTGTGTGTGTGTGTGTGTGTGTGTGTGTGTGTGTGTGTGTATATTGAGGAGATATATATATATATATATATATAGCCTTGGGCTGGAATTGCTGGTTCCTACAATGTCTCTTGGGAGGAAGAGTGACACACTGCTCGGCCCTCTGGGGTCGGAAAGAATGTCTCCTTTGGGAGTAGACTCCACCTAGGAGCCAGGTAGTCACCGTGTTAGACATCAACTGTGGATGGTGGAGATCAAGGGCTCGGAAAAGACTCCGGCGGGGGTGTACATTGGGAAGCTGGGTGCAGCAGGCATGACCCGGCTGGAGTCAGGGGCAAACCCAGTTCCATGGCTGGAGATTGCCCAACCAACTGCCCCTGACATCTGGGTACCTGAAATGGGTCTCTTCTACCTCTCCCTGTGGGCAAGCACCCAAGAAATGCCTCCATTTGATGGGGCAGGAGAGGGTGATGCTAAAAGCGCCAGCCCTTTGGCCAGGTGGGTCTGGATTCCAGTCCTTGCTAGAGCACTTCTTGGCTGTATGACTGCAGGCAAGTCACTGACCCTCTCTGGGCCTCAGTTTTCTTAGAAGTCATCGAGGTGTGAACATGGTACTTGCTTCAAAGGGTTGACGATGCCAGTAGGTGAGATGCCATAGGCAAAGTGCTTGGTGCGTAGAGAACGGTCAACAGAGGATGGCTCTTCGTACCTTAGTGTTTCTTATTCTCTTTGCTAAAGTATAAACCAGAGGAATATATTGGGGAGGAAACTTGGGCATTGGATTCAGATCAACCAGGGAGCAGATTCTAGTCTCACAGGTGCTAGTTGCTTCCCTGAGCCTCAGTTTCTTCATCTGCAAGAAAGAGAATAGGATTGTGGGAAAGGTAAGTGAGTCACATACAGATAGAGTCTACTCCCAGGGCTGACAAAGCGTAAAACCCAGCACACAGCTGTCATTCTCCCTTTTAGTATTGCCATCACCACCGCTAGAGCATTAGACATGAGGGAGGACTGGCAGCCAGCCCCTTCAGCTACAGAACTCCTGCTGTGTGGACAGTCCTTTCTTCCAGAAAGATACAGGCAGTCATGTCACTCTCCCTGCCCCCTGGCCTTGTTGGTTCCCCAGTGTCTTCGGTCCCTGTGGCTGGTTTACGAGGTGCCTGCCTGACCAGTCCCCCCACTAGGGCCGCCCACCTTCCCACCCTCCCCTCTCTGCTGCCCTCCCTCTGTGATTCCCCAGAAGGAGCTGGGTCTTCCCAAGTCCCTGGTGATGGGATGATTTGGGGTGCCTTCCCCAGACATCTTTGTTGTTTGCCTTCTTCCTAGCTGAACCTTATTATATTTTTATGTTTTTTTTTTTTTTTTTTTTTTTTTTTTTTTTTTTTGTGGGCAGTCCATTTTTGCTGCCTTAGAAAATATATGTCAGCTGGTTTTCATTTCCGGGCTTGTCTGCCACTTCGTTAAAGTGCTGTGTGTTCCATGTCTACGTTCAACAAACAAGGGCCCAGATCCAAGTCCCCAGTCATTTCCTAGGTGGCTGCTACTTGATGTAGCTGTTGGTTGGCTTGAAGCCTGCGGGCTGGGGAAGGGGTGAGGCTGGTGCCCCGGGGCAGGAATGGATGGAGAAAAGCGGGTTCTTCTGCAGCCCTGCTGCCCGAAGCAAACATCGCCCAGCCCTCCAGTCCGGCATTTGTCAGGGGCTGGGAGTCCTGGGAGCTGAGGTCCGGGGAGCACGGATGCTTAGACAGACAAACAGTGCAGATCACTGCCCAAGTCAAGGCCAGTTTTCTTTCCTTCTTTCTTCCTGTCTTCACGTCTCGCAGCCTCAGGCCCCCCAGATGTCCAGTTGGCGTGTCTTTAGGCTTCATCATTGGCAGGGCCCAGAGCAAAATGAAAATGTGGCCGCTTCCGATGGGCCCTGGACGGGTGACCCCCAAAGATTGTCACCTCTGCACTCTGGGTACCTAGATTAGGGGGTTCAAAGAGGCCCCTGCGGAGTCACCAGCACATGCATCAGGGCATTGCCTGCCCAGGTTATGGTTTTACCTTAATTATGGCCATCCCATCATGTTCCTTGAAGGAATTCTTTGTAAATCACGTTGATTTTAGGGTTTCATCTGCCATCTGGAAACTAGTGACCAGTTTTTAAAATGAGGCCGTATCTTGTGAATTTTACAAGGACCTGTGAAATGTGGTTTAGGTTACATTAGTCACAAATGTGACAGTACCGCTGAGAAAACAGTGTAATGTTTCGGATGTAGGCCTCTTGGTTACAGACTCCCACTCCTTATGTGAAGATAGCTGGGCTAAGAGAGCAATTATTGTCATCACTACCCGCCACTGGTTACTAAGGATGTAAAATACCGAGCGTGTGTGTGTGTGTGTGTGTGTGTGTGTGTGTGTGGTGATTATTATTTTTTACTATTTTTATTGATTTAACTGAGGAAGAGAGGGGAGAGATAGAAACTTCAATGATGAGAGTGAATCATTGATCGGCTGCCTCCTGCATACCCCACACTGGGGATCAAGCCTGCAACCCGGGCACGTGCCCTTGACTAGAATCGAACCTGGGACCCTTCAGTCCTCAGGCCAATGCTTTATCTATTGAGCCAAACCGGCTAGAGCATGATTATTCTTATAAGAACTTTATGATATTGCTGGTATGATGCCATTTTACAGATGAGGAACTCAAGACTCAGGGAAATTAAGTCCAAGACCACAGAGCTTGAATGTGGCCGAGCTGGGACTTGAACGCTTTATCGGAGTCACAGTTCTTTTCTCTCTGCCATTCATGCCCTCATCATCTGTGCAACAGGGCTCTTTATCAAGGAGAGCACTAAGAGACACATGACGTTTTGTTACAGGATACATGTCATCTTGGGCCTCCCACCACATGGCCTAGGCCTTGCATAACCTGGTAAGGAGGCGAGCAGGGAGCTCCTGGGACTTGCCCAGAGGCTGCTCCGTGGCTTAGGGGTCCAGCCGTGGTTTTCTGAGGGAGGGAAGGGGTCTGACAGGAAGCCTTGCTGGAAGGCAGCAAAGCAGAGTGGAGAGAATACAGCTCCTGGTGGCAGGCGGGCCAGCGCCGCCTCCTGTGGACAAGCCTGTGAAGTAAGGGGAATGGCACCGACAGACAGGATGACCTGGAGGGCTGGGATTCAGTGAGATGAGGGGCCTGAGCCCTCTAACACAGTGGTCGGCAAACTCAGTCAACAGAGCCAAATGTCAGCAGGACAACAATTGACATTTCTTTTGAGAGCCACATTTTTAAAATTTAAACTTCTTCTAATGCCACTTCCTCAACACAGACTTGCTCAGGCCGTGGTATTTTGTGGAAGAGCCACACTCAAGGGGCCAAAGAGCCTCATGTGGCTCTCAAGCCGCAGTTTGCTGGCCATGGCTCTGACAGACACGGAACGTTTCACTGTGGTTAGTTGCAGCTGCAAAGGGACTAAATCTTCCCCTTCCCACAACCTTGCATGCACACACTGGACGGATGCATCCTTCTGCTTAATGATTTTTCTTGCAGTCTCCTTCATGCCAGCGTGAGATATCTAAATTTATCCTTTTAAAAAAAAACCCTATTCTCTCTGTCTACTTTCCCATTGCTGCCTCCAGGTCCTCTTTTCTGAGTTTAGAGGGAAGGCCAGAAGGACCCTGGGTATCCGTGTCCATCCATAGAATCCAGCCCTGCTCCTGCACCCGCTTCCGTGGTTGGAGGGATGGCGGTGGAGACTGGGTTTGGCGCTGGTGCCCCTCTTTTGTGACTTGCTATCTTCTCCCGAAGCCTTTGGCCTCCCATGAGGACAAAAGGCTTCTTTGCCGAAACCGGTGTGGCTCAGTGGATAGAGTGTCGGCCTGTGGACTGAAAGGTCCCGGGTTCAATTCTGGTCAAGGTGTGTACCTTGGTTGCGGGCACATCCCCAGTAGGGGGTGTGCAAGAGGCAGCTGGTCGATGATTCTCTCTCATCGATGTTTCTAACTCTCTATCCCTCTCTCTTCCTCTCTGTAAAAAAAATCCATAAAATATATTTTTAAAAAGAATTTAAAAAAAGGCTTCTTAGACGTGGAGGCCTGGTGAGTGCCTGGTGCCAAAAATGCTGCAAGTGGGAGAGGCTGCCACCTGCAAAGGAGCTCAGCCCTGGTGTTCTCTGTTCTCTTGGCAGAACCAGCTTCTGGCGAAAGGACTGCTGTTTGTGGAGGAGAAGATCAAGCTGTGCGAAGGCAAGTACCAGGCTGCCCTCACCGAACGGGGTTCCCCAGACCCAGCCTTTGATGCTGGGACAGCCCGAGTGCTTCTGTCCCAACGTGTCCCCCCTTTCACCCCCCATGAGTGGCTCACCCCGGCCCTGCCTCTCAGTGGGGCGGCAGCATTTCGCTCTGAGTCAGCCTCTCGTGCCAAGGCGAGCTGCACCTGTGCTTCGAAACAGGAAGTGGAACTGGGAGGTCACTTTGCAGACCTGGTGTAACAGGGTGTTTTCATGGGGGTGGCCGTGGTCTGCGGTGATGGGATGAGTTACACAGTAGATCTGGTTGTGCTGCTCTTGCTCACCTGATCCAGGCTATTTCCTATTTGCCTCTGTCCACTTGCTTGTCATAAGTGACCAGGGGCCCGTCCACTAGAGTTGTGGTTGGCAAACTGCGGTTCTTTGGCCCCTTGAGTGTGGCTCTTCCACAAAATACTATGGCCTGGGCAAGTCTGTGTTGAAGAAGTGGCGTTAGAAGAAGTTTAAGTGTAAAAAGTGTGGCTCTCCAAAGAAACTTCAATCATTGTCCTGTTGATAGTTGGCTCTGTGACTAATGAGTTTGCCAACCACTGTTCTAGGGAAACATACAGCTAAGCTGACAGCCACTTCAGGGGTTCTCGTGGGATGGGCAAAGGAATGGTTTCCGGCTGTAAAAGATGCTTAGAGCCCATCGCAGAAGACAGAATGGGATGGGATGGTGGGGCCAAAGGCAAGCATCGCCGACCCCACAGCTCCTCCTGGGACTCCGTCAGCTCCCGCCGGTGTGGGTCCCCATCTCGGCTGCCTCTGCGTCCTTGGGTGATGCTTGGCAAGTTTCTAGCTTCTCTGAGCCTTGGTTTTGAGTGTTGTTAACCTGATAAAATGGGGGTTGGGATGGTAGGGAGGATCAAGTGCATCACCGACCAGCGCAGCGTTATACACAGCACATAGTAGGTACACAAACTGGTTCCTCCATCTTTTGTTTGTCCTGCTCTAGCCTCAGACCTCTGGCTGTAGGGCAAACTTCCTTCTAGACCCAGACTTAGCAGGCATGAGGTCACCCCTTTTCCTTCCCATCATTCCCTGGGAAGGAAAAGGTGTCCAGGGAAGTGGCTCCAGGACAGGCAAGGCAGGAAGAGAAATGCGAAGCCGGCAGGCCAGAGGGCGCTGTCTGGCACACAGAGAGTGCTCACCAGCCTGTGAAGATCGGAGGTTAGACACTCCCTGTCTACCCAAGAGCTGCCTCTACCTGTGGCCTTGTTTTCCTGGCATCCATCTGTGCTGAGACTCCTCACGCTTACAAACACCCTCCAACCCGAGGCCTCGCTTCCAGCAACTGGTGAGCACTCTGTGGACCTTGTGCATTTTGGCGGCTGCTAGGCAAGAGGAAAGAGAAGCATGGTCTCTGGGCACATTATTGGCCTGGAAGTCACTTGGGGAATGATTACATGCTCTTGCCAATATGGACAGATACCAGCTTTAGGAAAGGATGCTGAGCAAAACCAGAGATCCGAGTACCCTTAAAAAGGGAAGGGGGCCCTGGCTGGTTTGGCTCAGTGGATAGAGCAGTGGCCTGTGGACTGAAAGGTCCTGGGTTTGATTCTGGTCAAGGGCACATTCCTGGGTTGCGGGCTCGATCCCTAGTGAGAGGCATGCAGGAGACAGCCGATCAATGCTTCTCTCTCATCGTTGAAGTTTCTATCTCCCTCTCCCTCTCCTTTCCTTTCTGATATCAATAAAAATATATTTTTAAAAAAGGAAGGGGGAATGTCTTTTGCTCAAGTGATATTCAACAGACACTCAGAGTGAAGCCTGAGAAAGGAGCTAGATGGGTAGGCAGGTCCTCCAGAGTTCTGGGCCGAGGCCCCAAAGTGGGCCGGCGAGCTCCGGGCCCGGGTGGTCTCTCTGTGGCCCCTGGTCCTGGCATCTGGGTGCCAGGGTTCTCTCTGCACAGCCAAGGGGCCTGAGAAGAACTTTCTAGGGTTTCATACCTTCAGCCAGAATGTCTCTACTCTAGTTTACCTATTAGACTCCAAGAAAGATTTCGTTTGGGGGAGAGGATTCTCTGCTATGAAATATCGTTGGGAAAGGACTGAGAGGACCCTTCCTATCGCTGAACAGACTGCACGTTATTGACCTTTTTGCTGATATACGTCTACGCTGCCTCGTGGCCACAGAAAGGACGGAGGCAGCTCCTGTCCGCGGGGCATTCTGTCGAGGATGTGCCACGTGACTCACAGCCATCCCTTCTGAGCTTTAGTGACCTTGATGTGAAAGACGTTTCCCATTCCTGTTCTCAGTGTCTCTGGTGATCTACACTCCCGTGGTGCATTGGAAGGGAGCTTTCTAAGAGAGTCATCTAGAACCTTCCATCCAGGGAGGACTTTGCAGGGAGCTGAGTCCTTGACTTGGGGGCTGTTTCTGGAGGTGATGTCACCTCCTTCCTTGAACTCTTGCTTCCCCAGGGCTACCCTGCCTCTGAATGAGGTTCTTTACTGAATACCTTCCAAGCCTCCATTACTCTCTGAAGTCTGCAGCCAGCAATTCGGTCCAGGCTCCTGGGACAGGCACCTTCCGGCTGGGGGCTGAGGGGCAGCCTCACGTCCCCATGAGCTTTTCATCTGGGGGTGGGGGCCGGGGAGGGGGAGGAGAGCAGACAGGCACTGGCAGGCCCGGCATTGACCTGCAGGATTCACCTCCTTCCCTTCGGGGCAGGGGGGCCTCTGCTTGTCTGTGTGCCAGAAGGATTAGCATACGGGCTGTCAGTGAGGAGCTGGGACAGCCTCTTCTCTGAGGCACATTAATCTGGGGTTGGGGTTTACCTTGGGTTTTAGGAACTGGGCTGACTCATTCCTGCAGAGAGCTAGCATAGCCTTCCTTTGAAAGAGGATGCTGATGGATTGAGTCAAACACTTGTTGATTATCTCCTATATACCAGGTTCTTTCATAGGTACTGGGGACCCAGGGGTGAACAAAACCATCCTAGGATTATAGGACCTTCGGAGCTCACAGCCTGGTAGGGAGACAGATGTGAATCAAATCATCGCCAATTATAAAACTGCAGCTAGGCTAAGTACTAAGAATATCATGCCACCCATAGTAGGAGGATTTAGGCACCTTCCCGTGGTCAAGGGCACATGCCTGGGTTGCGGGCTCGATCCCTAGTGAGGGGCGTGCAGGAGGCAGCCGATCAATGCTCCTCTCTCATCATGGATGTTTCTATCTCCCTCTCCTTCCTTTCTGAAATCAATAAACATATATATTGGAGCTGAAACCACAGAGATAAACAGATGTAGGTTATGCAGAGAGAGGAGGGAAAGAAGGGTGTGGGCAAAGGGACTGGTGCATGCAAAGGCCCTGAGCACGAAGGGACCTGGTGAGGGGGAGGGGCTGAAGTAAAACCCTCAGAGTGAGGGCTTGAGGCTGAGGGGATAGAGAAGACGATGAAGGCACAGAGGGAAACAGACTTCCCTGGCCAAGGTACCCACATTATCGAGTTTTTTTGTTTGTTTTGTTTTTTGGTTTTTCAAGCAAAGGAGAGTGTTGGAGCTAATCACGAAGTACTGTTCTGTCTTGTCCCATATCTGGGTTAAATGGTTACCTCCCTCCACTCAGCAGCCCTAGTGTTTGCAAAAAACCCACAACCGCCTGGCTGCTGTGGCTCGTGGTTGAACACCAACCTATGAACCAGGAGGTCAGAGTTTGATTCCCGGTCAGGGCATCTGTCCAGGTTGTGCAGGCTTGATCCCCAGTAGGGGTGCATACAGGAGGCAGCTGACTGATGATCTCTCTCTCCCACTGATGTTTCTATCTCTTCATCCCTTTCCTTCTCTCTCTAAAAATCAATAAAAGCATATAAAACAACAAAAACAACCCCACAACCCTGTACACTTAACACTTTGCTATTCATTCATTCATTCATTCATTCAAAGATGTCCAGAAATTGATTTATCATGCTAAGCACTAGAAATACAATGGTGAGCAGGACAGAAAGAGCCCAGGCACTCACTCCTGTCCTGGTGGAGTCAGAGAAGTAAAGTAAGCAACTGAGTGTCATTAGCACTGTGGGAGGGAGAGGGGAGGACCCGAGGGGTTTGCATCCCCCCCCACCCATATACATCTCATGCTGACCTTTCCAGATCTGCGTGTCTCCGGCCCTGCCAGCTATCAGTCCTGCCCTTGCTCTGTTCTCTTCTCCCAGCCGCTGCTTTTATTGCCCATTAAATTAATAGACGGAACATACTATGCGGAGCTCTGTACCAGTTTAGTGCCACTGGCGGTGTTGGGCCAAATGGCGCTCCCAGTGTCTGATCTTGGTTGACCCAGTTTCTCTGCCTACGATGAGCACAGACAGCACCCCATCCGCTCTGTTATCTGGGTCATTCAACAGCAGCCACCGTGAGGCCCCTCTCAGCCCAGTTGCCCACCTTTCCTCAGGGTCAAAGTTCCTCCCACAGCCTTCCGGCGGCCCTGGGGGACCCGAGGACATCTAGTGGGGGGGGAGGGTGCTTGGCCACAGCTCAGGCTACTGCTTTGGGATACAGGTCCTGTGTCCCACACGTGACCAAAATGCTGCAAAGCAGTGGGTGGAGATGACAGTTTCTAGGCCCTCTACCCACCTCCCTCCACTGACAGCTCAAATCCAGAATAAAAGGCCATTGTCTTGCTGAAACCAGTTTGGCTCAGTGGATAGAGCGTCGGCCTGCAGACTGAAAGGTCCCAGGTTCAGTTCCGGTCAGAGGCATGTACCTTGGTTGTGGGCACATCCCCGGTGGGGGAGGTGCAAGAGGCAGTTGATCAATGATTCTTTATCATCGACATTTTTAACTCTCTATCCCTCTCTGTAAAAAAATCAATAAAATATATATATATTTTTAAACAGCCATTGTCTTAGTGATCGAAAAACAACAACAAAGCAATATATAAGTGAGGACAGGCCTTGCCCAGTTTATGTTGGTCAAGAGCACGGTTCTGGAATCCCGGGTCTGCCTTTCTGCTGTGTGACATTGAGCCAGGTACTTGACCTCTCTGAGCCTGTAAAATAGGGTAATAGAGCCCACTTAGGAGATATCTTGTGGATAAGTACATTAGCACAGGGACTGATAATGTTGTAACCATGCTCGTGATAATAATAATTGTTATACGATTTTCACAACTCAGCTCCCTTTTCCAGGTTGGGGCCAGAAGGCATATTTGCATATTTCCAGTTGAGTCTTTCCATCAAACCCCGCAGTTACCATAGTCACACCTTACAGATCGAATGTAGGTGATGGGCCTTTGTCCCCTGCGACCCCTCTCCCCATGCTCCAATGAGGGGAGGTGTCTTATAGCCTCGCCTGCAAGTAATGACAAGCTCTTTTCTTTCTCCCCCTCCCATCTTCTCACTCCCGTGTAGGTGAAAATCGCATTGAGGTTCTGGCTGAAGTCTGGGACCACTTCTTCACTGAGACCCTCCCCACCCTGCAGGCCATATTTTACCCAGTTCAGGTCAGTCTCGCCGGAACAGCCTCCTAGTGATGGGGGAGGACAGGAGGCCGGGCGCCTGAGTTGGCTAAGGACTCAGAGGTCTCTGCAGGGCGCTGGGTTCCCATCCTTAGCATCAAACCTCGACCAAAGAGGAGGCCCGCAAGGTAGCTATTTGTAGGCCCTCATCAACCTCTTGGTTTGGAGAACGTTCATATATTATTGGAGTGACCTGCTTCTTACTCTCCCTTTTCTTTCCCTTTCTCCCCCTTTTCTCTGAAGCCCGATTTTTAAAATAATATATTTTTATTGATTTCAGAGAAGGGAGAAGAAGAAAAAGATAGAAACATCAATGATGAAGGAATCATTGATTGGCTGCTCCTGCATGTTGGACAGAGCCTGCAACCCAGGCATGGGCCCTTGACTGGAATCGAACCTGGGACTCTTTAGTCCACAGGCCAACACTCTATCCACGGAGCCAAATGGGCTGGGGCTGAAGCCCGATTTTTAAGAGGCTTCCCTGTTGCTCCCAGATTGTGGGAAGGGATGGTGTTCCTTGGCCTCCACAAAGGATTCCGAAAGATGACGTGGTAGAAAGAACCCCCACTTGGGATCTCGTGAGATTTGGGCAAACCCTTCTAACTTCTCAGAACGTAGCTCCATTTCTTCTCCTGCGAAGGGAGGAATTTAGGCAGAAAGAGGAGAGGTGCCCCCTGTGACTTCAGCTCACTGTCCCACTTAGTTCCTTCCAGCCTCTTGCAGGGCTGGTCAGTGCCAGGTCAGAATGGACACCCCAAGGTAGGTGGATCCAGGTGTCACAGCCCAGGACTGCTGTGCGCACTGACTCCACTCCTGCCCGTCCTGGTTCAGGGTCCTGTCTTCCTATCTACTGGGGCTTTGGTGAAGTGCGGGTATGGGCGCAGCCACAGCCCAGCCATTAGCAAATGCGGGAACTGCCTTGTGCCAGAGGTAATGGCCCATGTGCTTTGCTTGCTCTGAGTGCTGTTTTAAAGGAACCTGGGTTTCTTTGAACTGTTTGTCAAATGTTTAAAACCTGGGAGGTTGTGCCTGTGGAGTCCGTCTCCCATTCTGGGCCCGTCCCTGACAATTGTGGTGGAAACCCCTAGCCTGCAGCCCACAGCTCCCCAGCTTGTCCTGCTCCCCTGAGAGAGGACTGAGAGCACTTACGGGGACAGTTTGGTCCCCTCTCCCTCACGCCCACAAGCTCTCCCTTCCCTGCAGTGGTCAGTCCACAGCCAGCAGTCCTGAGAGGTAGGGTGGGCAGATGTAGCCAATGAAAACACAGGGTGCTGAGTTAACTCTGGGTTTCAGATCAATGTAAATAATGCGAAGTTTGAGACACAGACTAGAGAATAATTCACACATAACTGGACACTTTGTGTTGTACTTGGCCACCCTACTGAAGGGAGTTTGCCATCCTGGGTCTCTCTTAAGGGCCATTTGGGCGTGAAAAAATCCCAGGGGAGGGTACCCAGATGGGTTTAGGATGGGGCCTGGGTGGGCGTTCTCACGGGACAGTTGCCGGAGGGCCTAGAGGAGCCCCGTTGTGCAGGTCTGAGGCTGGTACCCTGCTTTTCTGGAAAGATTGTAAGATCTGGCAACAACTGGTTTTGCTCCGGTCCACTTGCCCCTAATTTCTCAAGTGATGCTGCTGCTGCTGCTTGTCCAGACACCCCACTTTGAGAACCCCTGACTGAGCAGTGCTCGTTATTGGCAGTAACACCCGCTGAGGTGTCTGTGAGTCCAGCTTCCTGTGGGTTGAGGTGTCTGCCAGACCTGTTCCTCATTGGACAGTTGTGTTTCTGAGTGCCTGCTCAGAAACACAACTGTTTTTCCCTCTTGCCACCTGAAAGGGCTCTAGGAGGTAAAGTGGGGGCACAGATACCTACGAGATCATTGGGCAGTGCCAAGTGCTGGGGCATGATGCAGAAACTAGAAACTGCAGGACCTTGGAAAAGATTGGTGGGCCACTGCAGTGAGGTGGTCAGGGCAGGCAGAGGGGTGGTGGAATTGCACATGGAAGGCATGGGTGGCATGGTGTGTGTGTCTTGGGACTGGAGGGTAGAGGTTTGGCTCAGTGGATAGAGCGTTGGCCTGAGGACTGAAAGGTCCCAGGTTCGATTCCGGTCAAGGGCATGTACCTTGGTTGCGGGCACATCCCCAATAGGGGGTGTGCAAGAGGCAGCTGATCGATGATTCTTTCTCATCGATGTTTCTAACTCTCTATCTCTCTCTCTTTCTCTCTGTAAAAAATCAATAAAATATTTTAAAAAACAAACAAAAAAACAAAACAAAACAAAACAAAAACCTCCCTAAGGAATTGTAAGAAATGCTAAACTTCCGCATGCCCTTTGTCAGGGTGTACTTGAATGATACCTTTGTCTCTACTGAGAGCAATTGGCTTTTGGAGTGTTCTGTGTATAAATGTGCAAAGGAGAGCCTGGGAAATGGGCTCTTCTTTCCCTTTCTATTGTACTTTGCAAACATCAGGAGCTCCAAAATAAGATAGTTTGGGTTTAGCCTAGCCAGTGTGGCTCAGTGGTTGAGCATTGACCTATGAATCAGGAGGTCATGGTTTGATTCCCAGTAGGCAGCGAGCAGGAGGCAGCCAATCAATGATTCTCTCTAATCATTGATGTTTCTATTTCTCTCTCCCTCTTCCTTCCTTTCTGAAATCAATAAAAGTATGTGGTTTTTTTGTTTGTTTGTTTGTTTGTTTGTTTGTTTGTTTGTTTTTTTAAAGTTCAGGTCTGTAATCCAGCTGTATGGGCTGTAGGATTTTTCACTTTGAAGTGGGTTTTATAATAGTACCTTGCCGTGGTCTGAGCTTTGTGTCAGTTCTTAGGATTGCTAGCTATTATTTCCTTTAACTGTCCCCACCCCACGTGGTTGACCAAGTCCCTTCCCTCTCTTCCCCCAGTTCTTTTCTTCCTGAGTTACTCGCATGTATATGAACCTAACAGGCCCCAGGCTTTCCTCCTTCGCCTGGCATGTGACTGGTGCTCAGATAGACAACAGATGAAGCAGCCTTGAGGGTGGGGAGGAGGTGGTAATCTTTCTTTCCTCTTGTTTTTCCCATCTTCCTCTCCATCTTCCTTCTTTCTGACCCTCACGGGGACAGCCTGGCCCCGGGGAAATGCATCTGGTGTCACCAGTGGGTTACATAGGCAGGTCCAGTCGCCCACGTCTTCGCCTCTTTGACAGCCCCCGCGTGGCTGGTGGCAGGTCCAGAGAGTGCTCCCCTCCTAACACTGCCCGTTCTCTCCCCCCAGGGCCAGGAGCTGACCATCCGCCAGATCTCCCTGCTGGGTTTCCGTGACCTGGTCCTGCTGAAGGTGAAGCTGGGCGACCTGCTGCTGCTGGGCCCGGCTCGGCCGCCCCCGTCCATCGTCCAGATGCTGCTCATCCTGCAGGTGAGGCTCTGGGGAAGACGCGACCCCAAGGCCGAGGGAAGGAAGAAGGAAAGAACCTGCCGCTGCAGATAAGCGGGGAGGAACCGAAGGACCAGAGCACCTGAGCTGAGTGCAGTGTCCTTTCGTCGTTCCTGTCCCTTAGCTCAGTGGTTGGCAAGCAGCGGCTCACCAGCCACATGCGGCTCTTTGGCCCCTGGAGTGTGGCTCTTCCACAAAAATACCACGGCCTGGGCGAGTCTGTGTCGAAGAGGTGGTGTTAGAAGAATTTAAAGTTGAAAAAATGTGGCTCTCAAAAGGAATGTCCATTGTTGTCCTGTTGCTATCTGGCTCTGTTGACTCATGAGTTTGCCCACCACTGCCTTAGCCCATTTTCCATTGGCTGGACAGCCCCTGAGCGTCTCTGAGGTCCCTGGCGCTGAGCTCTGCGCTGGGGTCCCGGTGGGAGGGACACGCAGTCCTGTCATTCAGGCAGGGGGAGCCCATCCCTCCTCCGCTGTTCTGCCAGGGAATGAGGAGTTACAAGTGACAGCAAGAGCCCACCGCAACCTAGCTCGAGCCAGACCAGGGCTCTCTGGAAGGTTCCTGGGGCAGGTGGGCTTCCCAAAAAGACCGCAGCCAGAGGGAGAGCGTGTCAGGATCTGAGGTCTTGGCTCTGCCCTTCAGGTCTAAGCTCAAGTGTCCCGGGCTAGGTTGGGCGCTTCGGGGCTAGGGTCACCCGTTCGGGGCTAGGGACAGTCCACCCGAACTGCATCATTGGGACCCGTGGGAGAGGCGCCATGGCAACGATGATGGCGAGTGGTCACGGGAACCCATGATGCATGGCTCGGGCTGCACGCCTCAGTTCCCTGCGTCCCAGCCACAAGGGCCTGTTTGCCGGTGTCACTGTCTTGGACGTGGCAAGAGGGCCCTTGACACCGCCGACTGACCTTTGCCCCTCTTGAATGTTTGTTTCCAGAGTGTTCATGAGCCCACAGGCCCCAGCGAGGGGTGTTTGCAGCTGGAGGAGCTGGTGAAGCAAGTGGTTTCTCCTTTCCTGGGTGTCAGCGAGGACCGCGGCGTCTTGGGCCCCACGTACACGCTGGGTAAGGGCCACAGCTCCCCAGCTCCCCGGGGCCTCGATGATGATGCTACCAACCACAAAGATGTGCCAAGTCTCTTGCTTCGGATGCAGGCTGTGCAAATGTGGGCACCGCTGACCTGGGTCTTGGTAACCTTCTCCCCACCCTGGGATTCCCCCCGCGGGCCCTACAGTGCCTCCGCGGTGGTGCTTATCTGGCCCACATCTTTGACCCGGGGTTGCCACATTCATTTCTCCTGGACCTGATGCCAGAAGCTGCCTTATTGCACCCACCGCCGCTGAGTGGGCTTCCCTCTGAAATCACCTGCACACGGGAGGCCAGCGTGTGGCCAGAGGAGGTGGAGCTGCGGCTCCCGCTCCATGTGTAGGTACCGCCAGGGCCTGCGCACCGAGGATAGGGGCTCCTGGATTTGGGGACCACCCTTTTGGGGCTGTTTTTTGGTGTCTGGAAAGTTAGCATGAGTGAGCGTCAGGCTCGGCAATAGGCAACCCTGGAGAAGCTGGAGTCGAAGCGAGTAGCGTGTGACCTCCGTCCAGATAGGGAAGTGGCTCTAGATTAAGGCATTTTTGTCCCAAAAGACATTTCAGTTGCCCTCTGAAACAAGAGTTCCCTAAAGGAGCAACTTCTGTGGGTTGTTCTGTCTCCAGGGACTGGAATAGTGCTCGGTATACAGTAGGCACTCAAACATGGAAGCGAGATGGATGGCATCTGTAGCCCGAGGCCAGGGCGACAGGATTCCCGGGATTTAGAACCTCTTGCCCCTTCTCCTTGCTTGACTGGAGTTGGAGCTGTGCTCAGAGCACAAAGCAGAGGGGCAGCTTCCAGCAAGGTTCTGCCCCTTCCCGGGCCTCCCCTCAGAGAGAGAGGGGGGGGAAGAGGTTCTGCCCCTTCCCGGGCCTCCCCTGCAGAGAGAGAGGGGGCGGGGTGGAGGGAGGGAGGTTCTGCCCCTTCCCAGGCCTCTCCTGAAGAGAGAGGCAGGGCTGCCTTGGTCTTCACCGCCCCTTCGTGTTTCTCTGGAGACATCGGCTTAACCACAGCCACCGCAGACGGGGTGCTGCCCCAGCCTGCTGCCTGCCAGCCCGCCCTTCCCCCCCCCCCCCCCCCATCTCGCTCATCACTTACTCATTCCACCCAGGAGCTGGGAGGAGGCAGAGTGGAAATGACAGCTGGAGGAACCCTGCCCTCCCAGCTGGGCCTGGGCGCCTGTGGCCGCAACCTGCCTGGAGCCCAGCTTCCTGCTGGTGGCCATGGCCAAGGCCACAGGCTCACCTCACCGGTGGGGGGATCCAGGCAGATGCCAGGTGCCCCCAGGTTGGGCCGGGGCAGGGCTCCACCCATCATCGCTGGGCCTAGAGCTGGGGACAGGGGTAGACCCAGAAGTTTATTCAGTGAGGGCTTCCTCTAAGAGGCTTAGTTTCAGTTTCCCAGCTAAAATAATACAATACGTGCTTTTGTCATATCACAAAGCAAAGATGGGAGGAGTCATTCTTGAACCAAGTACCATCCTGGTTGCCCCGCGTGTGGTCTCCATAGGAGCCAAGAGGGGAGGAAATGACCCTCTTTGGGTTACCGTATTTTTCGGACCATAAGACGCTCCGGACCATAAGACGCACCAGTTTTTAGAGAAGGGAAATGAAGAAAAAAAGATTCTGAAACAAATAGTGTCCTAAAATATTTTATGTGCATTAAAACCCAACATCACAGTCATAAACACATGTAATCAACCCTGTAAAGTAAACAGCAGCATTTAGAACCATTTTAGAGCCGGGCAAGCAGACAGAGACCACACAGAGCCGGGCAAGTAAAAAAACTTTTTTTTTAAAGTCTATGTGTAGGCTATATTTGGACCATAAGACACAGGGACTTTTTCCCCCCACTTCTGGGGGGAAAAAAGTGCGTCTTATGGTCCGAAAAATACGGTACTTCTGTGTTGTCATTCCAGCAAGGGCACCCTGACCCTGTCCAGGCACCTTTTTGAGGTGCTGCTGGTGTATCCCTGAACAAAGCTGACCCACCCACCCCTGCCCCCTGGCGAGCACGGTCAGGTATGGAAGGCACCAACAATAGACGAGGACTCATCCGTGTACCAGTGCTCTGAGTGGGGAAGTACAAGGGCTGCGGCTCCCACCCCCAGGGGACTTTACCTGGACGGGGGAATCCGGGAAGGCACCCTGGAGGAAGTGAGATCGGCTGAGGACCTGTAGGCTGAATGTGAGTTAGCTGAGTAAACAGGAAAGGCAGCCTGTCCCCACAGCAAAGGGAAGGATCTTTGGGAGGGTGTTGGGGTGGGGGATGGAGAGCAGGAGGGCACAGCATTTGAGGAACTGAAATTGCGTCAGAGTTGCAAAGAGGCTGGTGGCAGGGGAAGGCTGGGCTGGACCCTGGGCCTCAGCGGGGGCACCGTCGCGCCCATTTCACAGATGAGGGAAACGAGGCCTGAGGGCACTTGGCGAATGGAGCCGGGCTTCCGAGTCCCCAAGCCTGCTGCACCGCCCAGCTTTCCCACACGCTCCACCTCCCCTCGCACCCACCCCCCACCCCCACCTCCCACCCCTAGCCACTCCTGGGAGACGGCTGTGATTTCACCGGGAGTGAAGGGGGCAGGTGAGGAGTGGTCCTCCCCTCTCCTTCTCCCTTAGTCCATGATGCAGCCGAGCCCAGACATTGCCCCTCCAACCTCGGCCACTATCCCTCCAAACTGGCCCAGTGGTGCCCTTCCTTACTGGGGACACTCCTTCCCAGACTGTGAGGACTCTCGGCCTCAGTCTTCCCCTCCGCACAATGGAGACATTTATCCTGCCCCCAGGGGAGGAGTGTAGTGAGGACCCAGGAGAGGCGTTGGGGGTGAGAAAGCCTGTTCCCACAGGAGGGCTCTGCCGTGGTCCTGGGGCCTGGCTAGGGGTGGGAGCGATCAAGGGCAGCCAGAGAGTCTGAAAAGCCACCACTTACTGAATGCCGGCCACATTCCCGGTGCCAGGTACGTATTCATTTCATCCTGGTGCAGCCGCTGCGGAGGTATCTTGTCTCAGAGTCATTGAGCAGCTTCACACACAGGGAGGTGACCAGAGCTGGGAGGTGGTTTTTTTAACACGTTGGATCTGGGATTCTTGGTCTCTCTCTCTCTCTCTCTCTCTCTCTCTCTCTCTCTCTCTCTCTCTGCCAATGGGCTTGAGGAATAAGCCTCATTCCCTGAGTATACAAGGCTCGCTTCAGAGCCTGAAGCCGTGATAGGGGGGCGGGTGTGTGTGTGTCCTTTTACTGGGACAATGAAATCTTCAAAAGGCCGATCGGCCAGGACCCAGGGCCCTCACCCCACCTTTCTGTAGCATTCCCAGTTTCCAAGCCGCTGCTGGCTGCTTGCAGGCCCTCTGAGCAAACACAAAAGCCCTGGCCTCCCCTCGCCTCCCCTCCCCACTTTGTGTCTCCAGCAAGGGGAATGGGGGGGGCGGGCTCTGCCTCCAGACACCATAGTTCTCTTCCTGACAAACCGGCATTCAGGGCTTCAGGTGCTGGGGCCCGTGCAGGGTCACAATGCCCGCATTGTGGCCGCCCCTCCTGGGGGGCCCAGCCGGTGAGCCCCGCAGATCAAAGGCTGGGAACCCAGTCCCCAACAAAGGGCCAGGGAGAGCCTCGCTGGTGCTCGCGCGCGCGCTCTCTCTCTCTCTCTCTCTCTCTCTCTCTCTCTCTCTCTCTCTCTCTCTCTCGTGAAAGGAGCTGCCATCGCTGGCTCGGTGCAGAGGGGAGGGATGCCAGAGCTCAGGGGAGGGGGGCAGGGGCCTGGTGCGGGAGGAAGGAAAAGAGGCCTCCCCTCCCGTCCCCCACCCCGTGTGACAGGCCGGAGGCAGCCTGGAGGTAGGTACCAGCAGAGGGGGCAGGGGGCGGGCCCCGGCCCCTCACCCTGCTCAGAGGGCCCTAGGCCCCAGGGGGGCACTGACAGCTTCATCAGTCCCTACTTGGGAGGTTTTCTGCTCTGAGCGGCAGGCCCCTGCCTTCCCTGGTGTGAAGGAGACAAGGAGGAGAAAGCAAAGGCGGCACTGCCACTGCGGGGTGTATCTGTCAGCTCAGGGCCTCCGTCAGTTTTAGGGCCTCCCAAGGGGGATGGGGCCTTTGGGGGCTGATCCCAGCGGGGAGGCAGCTGCACTCATCTTGGGGGTGGCCTCTAGAGCCGGGTGGGAGTTGAGCGAGCAAACCCTGCCTTCCCAGGGGACTTGGCACAGCCCAGCGGCCCCTGTGGTCTGGGCTCTGCCCACACTCAGTCTTAGGAACCAAAACATTTCACCCAGAAAGCAGAAGGAAGAGCAGGTAGGCCTCCTGGATGAGTCATGAGCACGGACGGGAAGGCGGAGAGCAGCAGTGAGGGGAGAGGCGGGGCCAGCAAGGAAAGAGGAGGGCTTTGAAACCACAGGGCTGGGCCTCGGCTGTGTGGCCTGGAGCCAGTGAATCAACCTCTCTGAGCCGAGCACCACCACGGAGGAAGAAGCTGCCCTGCCTTAGGGCAGGACCCAGGCAGAGCTGCCACCTGCGGGGGGTATGAGCCCGGCTAGAGGTGGCCTGGCCCAGAGACCATTCCTGGGGAGGCGCGCGTGTGCCTCTGCCTGCCTTCCTCTCCGGGACCCCAGGCCACACGCAGGGCCCTCTGTAGGGCGTCTCTGAGTCCCCGGAGTGCCATGCCGTGTTGACCTGTATTAATAGTATTTGAGTCAGGGGCCTCCCGGTGGTCACGATGGGAGTGGGGGGCACTCTGCTGGCGGCCTGGGCCTGAATATAGATCTCGACATGGGCTCTATCATGTCGGTGAAGCACGCCCTTCTTTGACACAGAACCTAGCACATAATAGATGCTCAGTTAACGATTGCCCCTGAGACAGCTCCCACCACACACACACACTGGGCTCAAGCCCCTGTGGCAGGCTCCACATCACATGTATGCTTCTCTTTCTCCTGCTGTGAGCCCAGCATGTCACATGCTAGGAAGTGTCTATTGCAGGAGTCACGGGGACCCCTCCTCCAGACTGCCCACCTCCCCCTGGCCCCAGCTCTCACAGTAGCCTGGCCGGCCTCTCCTGTCAGTCTGTTGCCCACTAGCCTTCCCTGGGCTTTGGGCTGCTGCACTGACAGTGTCAGGGAGGTAGGTGACTTCCAGGCATCCCACCGAGACACCGTGCCTGGCTCATTCTACCAGGCTGGGGCCCCTGGATTATCACCCAGTGAATTCCCATTTCTTCCAGAGGTACCGCCTGGGTCCACCCCCCAGCACATCTGTCCCCGGTGCCCCCACATCACCCTGGGCCCAGCTTCTGTTCCAGCTCTCTCCTCTTCCTGGACCTGCGTGTAGGGAACGCTCGGCGAACAGTCCAGCCCCACCTCCTGCCTGGCCGGCTGCAGAGTTGGGGCCACAATACGGGGTTTTTCAATTGTCGACCTCGGGGGTGCTTGCTCTTGGCAGCCTCGGGAGAGAGATGAGTTGTGTTTCAGGGCGTTTTTAAAGGCCGGTTCTTTAACGAGGTGGCTGCTGCTTTGAACTCTCCTGCTGCTTCTGTTTATAGGTATCGACTTTTGAGATCATAAAAGTAATACATGGCGATTGTAAAACGTGCGGGGACATGACAGGAGCGGGAGCCTCCGGCCTTCAAGGAGCGCCTCTGCCCCGGCTGGCACAGTTCCTTCTGTCTGGAGGCCCCTTGGCATGTTGCCCCTCGGCATTCTTCTCCATTGATTAGGAGGTGTTTTTTTTAATTAATTAATTAATTAATTTATTTATTTATTTATTTATTTACAGAGAGGAAAGGAGAGGGATAGAATGTTAGAAACATCCATGAGAGAGAAACATCTATCAGCTGCCTCCTGCACATCCCCCACTGGGGATGTGCCCACAACCAAGGTACATGCCCTTGACTGGAATCGAACCCAGGACCCTTCAGTCCACAGGCCGACACTCACTAAGCCAAACAGGTTTGGGCATCGATTAGGAGTTTTTGACACCCCCTCAGGCTCCCCCCCCACCCCCCCACCCACGCTATGTCCTCCTCCATGACAGCCTCTGTTGCTTTCTCTCTTGCAGCCAGGCGCCACTCCCGGGTCCGGCCCAAGGTCACGGTCCTGAACTATGCCTCCCCGATGACCACTACTGGCGGCCGGCCCTCGAACGAGATGGCCCTGACCCCTCTGACGGAGCAGGAGGGGGAGGCCTACCTGGAGAAGTGTGGCAGCGTCCGGCGGCACACGGTGGCCAACGCCCACTCGGACATCCAGCTGCTGGCCATGGCCACCATGATGCACCCGGGCCTGGGCGAGGAGCCCGGGACCGAGGACCCGTGCCTGCTCCTGCCGCCCCGCTTCTCACCGCCACCCCACCGCCAGTGCTCCAGCGAGCCCAACATCACCGACGGCCCCGAGGAGCTGGAGGGGGTGGCCGGGGGCTGCCCGGGGGACTCGGACCCCAACTGTGCTTCCCTCAGCTGACTGCCCCCTGGGGACCCCATCCTTCCTGTGACTCAGCCAGCGGGCCCTTCCTTGGGGCCAGGCTGCCCTGTGTGTGCTTGGGGACAGGCCTAGTCTGACTGCCCCTGGTGGAGGGTGATCCAGATGCCAGGTGCCTCCAGATTGTGCCGTGGTAGGGCTCCATCCATCATCCATGGGCCTAGAGCCGGGGGCAAGGGTAGACCCAGAAGTTTATTTGGTGAGGGCTTCCGTTTCCGAGCCTGTGACCACCTCTTCGCAGCCACACAGACCCAGCTGTCCGATGTCTGCTTCCTGATGTCCAGCCTGGCCTGCCTGATCTGGATTTTTTACTCTGGGCTTCCCCGCTCAGATCCTGGACTGCCCACTGCCCCCAAGGACACCACCGCCCAGCGCCCTCGGCCTTGCTGTGGCAGGAGGCTGATGGGCCGCACCTGGAGCCCAAAAGAACGTGCCGGAGTTCCGCTTTGGGCCTGGCGATGCAGAGGCGTGTGGGTGCAGAGGTACCTCTGCTTCCCCGTTTGTGGGGAGGGAATAGAGACGCAGCCCCTGCCAAGCAGGGCCCTGGGGAGGCGCCTTCCTCGTTTTAGTTTCAGGATTACAGGGAGAGAGTTGCCCCCCCCCCTGGTGCTGAGGGTCCCCTGCATCACATCCCGGAGGCCTCCAGTCTGGACGAAGCCTCTGCCTTTCCCCCAGGGCTGCCTCCCTGCGGGCGTTGCCTGTGCCTTCAGCCCTCTCTGAGGCCAGAAACTGACCGTTTCCTGTTGTGGGCGAAGGGCCGAAGGGCCGGCTCATACCAACCAACTAGTCTTGTTCCTGGGTTTGACTTGAATTTTTAAAATGTGCATCGTTTCAAAACAAGTTGCCTGCGAATATTTGCTCGGAGGGTCTCGCACTGCTCCCTGATGGGGTGTGTCTTCCACACCCTCTGGGAAAGGGGAGGGAGCATTTGGGGTTGGGGGAGGGGAGGGTTGGGAGAGGGACCCGTTGGGCTGGGCTCATGGGCTGCAGGACTCTGGAAGCAGCTGGGCTCGGATCCAGAATGGCCTGCGTTTGTGGCTTGTTGGAGGAGCCGCAGGGAGGCAGGCAGATGGCTGGCTGCGTGAGCAGAGGGCTGTAGCAATGGAATGTCTCAGTGCTTTCCCATGGGGTAGGGGTGGGGGAGAGGAAGGTGAGGGTCTATAGGGCCTCTTGGAGAGAGGTTCATTCCCCTGTGAATAAAGGGAATTCAAATGCCTGGAATTTGACCCGTGGGGCCTCCAAATGCCTTTTGCTAGCGTGCTGTCTCCTTGCCGCTGGCTTTCTGTCCACCTCGAACCTCTGTTCTCTTTCGGAACAGCTCCAAAAGGAAAGAGAAGCCTCCCTGGGATCCTGTTAGGCTCGGAAAGTTTGTTAATAAAATCTCAGAGGCGAGAGCCAGCTTGGCTTCGACTGAGGCGGGAGGAAGAGGCCGAGGGGGGATGAGGGCAGGTCCGCCGCCAGCAGGGGAAGGGCCTTCTAAGCACCTCTGAGCCCTGACAGCATTTCCCTCCCGGGTGGAGATCCGGGCCATGACCAGAGCTGTGCTTTGGGTGGCTGCTAATTTGGAACGTGTGTCTTATCGAGTTGTTCGTCCTTCCATGAGAATGATGGAAGACAAGCGTCCGGCGGAGGTCTGAGAACGTCAAACACGCACAACCAGAGTCTCGGTGGGCGAGCAGGATGACACCCTCACGTTGGCGGGTGTGCATTAGAGGATGGAACATCAGTGGGTAGCAGCACGGTGATGTGCTTAGAGGAGGGCTTCGAGCCTTCAGCACCCGGAGCACTTGGGACTGGGCTGTGTTGATTAAGTAATGAATCATGCTTGGGTTTGTGGGTTTTTGGTTTTTTCTTCTTCTTCGTTTACAATGTTAGCCCTACATATGCGTTTCAGTGCCTTTTCTATCTAGTAAGTGGCCCCGATGCAGATAGCGGTCATCAATGAAACACGTGAGCTCCCAGGTGGGGAAGGGGTGTGTCAGTCCAGACCCAGGGAACTTGACTTTGCTGAGGCCTGTTAGCCAGTTTCACCGCTAATGTACACACCGGATGTTTGCACACAACACTTCAGACTGTACTTATACACACATGTTATTTTTTTTAAATTAATTTTATTGATTTTTTTACAAAGAGGAAGGGAGAGGGATAGAAAGTTAGAAACATCCATAAGCTGCCTTCTGCACACCCCCTACTGGGGATGTATCCGCAACTAAGGCACATGCCCTTGACTGGAATCGAACCCGGGTCCCTTCAGTCTAAAGTACCACGCTCTATCCACTGAGCCAAACCAGTCAGGGCCATTCACACGTTATTGATGTTCATGGGCATTCCAGCATCGGCGTGTTTTTTGTGTGTCTGTGTGGTTTTTTATTATTATTATTATTTAAATGAGAAAGGGACAAAGAGATAGAAACATCAATGATGAGAGAGAATCATTGATCGGCTGCCCTCTGCACTCCTGCTACTGGGAATCAAGCCGGCCCACTACTAAGGATGGAGCCGGCACCCTGGGCAAGTGCCCTGACTGGGAATCGAACCATGACCTCCTGGTTCATAACAAAAGGGTACACACTTCCCACTCTCCATCCTCCAGAACTGACTCTCAGTTCAGATAATGTCTCTGAAATGCACTTCCTAAGCCTTCTGAGGTCAACCCTCAGCCAGTGAGCCATGCCAGCCAGGTGAGAATGTCTCTCTTAACATTGACATGAACTGACCTGAGTGATAAGGAGCCGGCCTCACAACGGGCTTTCTTTTTCTATGGCTGGCATAACAGATCTACCACCGATGGGTAGCCACACATACATTTATTGTCTCTCGGGGCTGCTGGCTGGGAGTCTGACGTGGGTCCCTGGGCTGGGATCACGGTGTTGGCAGGGCTGTGTTCCACTCTGGAGGCTCTGAGGAAGCTGCCCTCTTCCCTGGCTCCTGGCCCTCTTCCTCCACCTTCAGAGCCAGTGATGGTGGGTGGACTCCCTCTCACCAGCCCGCATTCTGCCTCCCTCTTCCACTTTGAAGGACCCTTGTGGGTCCATTGGGCCCATCCCGGTAATTCAGGAGAATCTTCATGTCAAGGTTTCTGTGGGCACTGCCTTTGCCGCTCTCTCAGTAGGAAAGAGGCCAGCCACATGGTGCGCTAGGGGCCCTTGAAGAATGAGAGTGCATCAGGCGGGCGGGTGGGTGGGATGGTGGGTCTCAGTGGCCAGGGCTCACTGGCTGGCCTGGACCACAGGCCTCTGAGCTCAGCCTCCACCCATCAATACCTGCCCTCTTCCAATGACCATGATTCTGGAATCCCTTGCTCAAATCTGTTACTTCTCAGCTCATATGCCTGTCAGGCGCTCAGCACCCCTGTCTGGACCTCTATGATTTACCAGTTTGTCTGCAGATTTCATCTCTCCTGTGGACGTCCCCAACTGAATTTTCTAAAATTCAATCCTTACTAAAATGTCTCCCTGCCTTCCAATAAAAGCCACACACCTGAACTTGACTTACACAGTTGCCTAGCTCTTCACTCGACCTTCAGAAGTATGCCTTCTCACCAAGTCACTCATTCAATTGGTTCTTAATTTCTTTGGCCTTTTGGCCTACATTTGAGAACCTTTGAGAAGAATCCTAAGCCATGTGAATATCTTGATTCTTAATAGTCTCCTGAATTCTTTCATATTCTTGGGACCACATAGCTTTTAAGAAATACCTAAACGTCTGTCTTATATCAGTTAAATATCTCATAGTTTTGTCTGGGGTCCAACTTACGAGGTCATTCCATTCTCTGGAGACTGATCTAGGATCAAGCCAATTGCCTGTCAACAAATACGTTGGCTGCCATGCTAAGGTAGTTTGGAGACGGGCTCAATAAATGGATATAGCATAAAACTTCTGGTCCTGGCTATAGGGGAATGGCTTGTCTCAGATTAATCTTCCTGCCAAAATAATTATAAAAGTTGGAGGAAATATAGAAAGCATCTGTGTGAAGGAACTGGAGAACACCCAGTCCAGACGGGATCTGAGAGGCTATGACCTCTCAGAGAAGGGAAATGTATTGGGCAATCTTCACATTCACCCTGGCTTTTCCTGAGGGCCTTTCACCAAGTCACTGGTGCGGGTGGGATGGAGGGGAAGAACGATGATAGCAGAAGCAACAGTCTTATGGGGCTGAGATCAGAATTTAAGGCTGCCAGAGGAGCTTGGCCTCAAAGGGAGAATGATAGAGAGGACGTAATGAGACAGCTACTCTTCAAGCTATTGGCTGACTCCTCAGCTGAGCAGACGGAGAGAACTCCAGGAAACCCAGCAGAAAGTAGCAGCTGGGGAGCTAAAGAGCTGAACAGATTTGAGCTGTTGCACAATGTTGAGGAGACAGAGGCTTATGTCCCACTGAGGTAGAGGGGCTTTGACAAACATCCGGGGCTTTTGGTTAAGGCCCAGAAGGGCCACACTTGAGGAGTAACAGTCATACTCAGTAGGAAGAAGGTAGACTAAACACAATTGTATCAGTAATTACATTAAACGTAAATAGACTAAACATTCCAATGAAAAGACAAAGAAAATCAAACCAGATTTAAAAAATAACAATATGCTGTTAATAGACATTTTAAATGCTGAGACACAGAAAGATTGAAGAAAAAAAGATGGGAATTATATATATATATATATATATATATATATATATATATAAACCCCACGTAAACACTAGCAAAAGAAATTTGGTGTTGCTAATTTAGTTACGCAAATTTCTTAATGATAAAGACTCATTCATAAGAAAGATATAAATTATAATACATTAATTATCATTTATCGCTCATCAATTATATGCTAAACATCACCCGAAGTATTTCACGTCCATTGTTTTGTGTAATCCTCTGAGCAATTTTATGAAGTGGCTGTCATCATCTCCACTAGATGAGGAAATTGGAGCTCTGAGAGGCTGAACAATTAGCCTCAGGTCACACAGCTGGGAAATAACAGGTAAGATTCAAACCTAGTTTTTTCTGACCTCTTGCCAAGGAGCTTTTAACTATTGCTCTGCTTCCTAATCACCGTGCTGCCATTTGGAGAGGACCCCTGAGGACATTAGGTGAGACTCCTGGGCCTCTGCCTTGGAAACCCTTTAAGAACTAAGATTATCTAGCTGACTCTTGCACATGCGTGCACATCACACACATACACACACACACACACACACACACACACACACACGTGCAAATGCTCTGCTCTTCTATATACATGATCTCCCGAGTTGATGGACTTCAGACCTCTTTGCATTTCTTAATTCAAGTTCTCAAGAACCAGGTCTGGTTAAAGAATCATGTATTCCTCCCAGATTCAGTCACTGAGATCCACAGAGAAACCAGGGGACACTGTTTGTAATTTATTCTTTCTCTTCAGTCACTCTGCTGCCACTGGGGTCAGTCAGACCCTTTTCCATGTCCAGGGACTGAGTGACTTTTGAAGAGTTACTTAACCTCACTTTTCTTCTTCTGCAAAATGCAGTTAATTTTGCTGAGGAAAACACACACACACACACACACACACACTGAAAACAACTTAAACACCCATTGATGGACAAATGGGCAGACAAAACGAGGTATGCTCATACAGTGAAGTTCTATTTGGCAATAAAAAAGGAACAGCCTACGTACGACATGCTACGTCATGGACAGACTTCAAAGACCTTATGCTGAGTGAAAGGAACCAGGCACAGGAGACCACATGGTGTATCAATATAATTCCATTCATGTGAAATGCCCGGCAAAGGAGATTTATTGACACGGAAGATAGCTATTGCTTGCCTGGGGGGTGGGAATGGGGATTAACTGTACAAGGGCCTCAGGGTTC